CACACACACACACACACACACACACACACACACACACACACACACACCCTCACATAGTTAGTATTCAGCTTTTTTCAGACTTTTTTTCCCAACCTGCAGAATTAAATGTGTTCTCGCTCTGTCTCTCTCTCTGTTTCTGTCTCTCTTTCTCTTCCCCCATACCAGGAATCTGTCTTGTGTGATGTGATGGCCAAGGCCCTGAACTAACTACTAAGCATAGGGCTAATAAGAAATGGATAAAGATTACTTTGGATACTCTTTCCCATGCACAAAGGCATGCTTAGATGTAATGTCTGTTACTAGGTGCTATGTGAATGTGTACATTACATCTATAACAAAATATCTGCTGATATTCCATATGTCATGTTTTAAAGTCATTCTAAGTTATACAAAATAATAGGCTCTGATGAAATAATTGTGCTTTCCCTTTCTTCCATGCTGTCATGTGACCGTTCATAATCTGTTGGAGGGTTCTCGAGTCCCAGGTAAGAAAAAATGCACATTCCTGTACATTTTTTTTTAACATAGAGTTTTAGGGGGTTCAGGGAACTTCTAGCCCAGAGGATTAACTTTCTCTGATGTAATGGTTCATTTCCTCTAGTCTCAATTTGGCAAAAGAAAACAAACCAAACAAAAAACTACGTTCAGGTTTTCTGCAAGCGGAAATGAACTGACTCTTTCCATGGTTTGCAGGAGCAGGGGAATCGCAGAGAGCCACGAATCTGCCTGCTATGTAAGCTCTCTAGCAAGGAAAAGCTGACCCAGGTGTGAAGCAGGTGAGCTGAGGTCACCCCCTCGAATGTGACTAGTTGTCTGAGAAGATCTGCTAAGCTTCTGACGGTTGGAGAGAGACGTGGGTCAGGAGATGGGTCGGGGAGCACAGAAGTGAGCGTGGAGAGAAGGCTGGGAGTTAGTGAAGAGTGAAATTCGGAACGTTTGCAATGAAAGAAAAATGTCTTTTGCAACAAAAGAATAAAAATGTCTTTATGGGCCCAGAGAAAAACCCCCAAAGCACGTAACAGTAGTGTACACCTACGTATTTATTTACTTTCTAAAGGTGTCTTAAGGGTATCCAACTTTGGAGAAAGCAGGGAAGGAATTTTTGTCGTTCTCTACGTTTCACTTCATAGACCAGTACACCCCACAGACACTAAAACAGTTGACCCCGACGTGATTTGAACACGCAACCTTCTGATCTGGAGTCAGACGCGCTACCGTTGCGCCACGAGGTCCTGCGGGAGCCCCCCTTTTCCTTTACCTGTCAACCTGATCTATGAAATTAATCATCTGTACCAAGTAAGTGAAGTTTAATTGTGCCGAATCCCATCTGCGCGACAGCGGCGTCTCCTTACACCCGCTCTTGTCCTTAGTTGAAATGATCGATTTTATACTGCGAGAGTTCTTTCTAATCTGATCACTGGATCTGAAACTGCCCCTAAGAAGAGCAGGAAATCTTTTTTGCCGGAGGAAGCAAGTGATCCCGTCACCAGGGTTTGACTGGTTAAAGCGCCTGTCTGGGAAACTGCAGGCGGGTTTCGAATCTCAATGAGATTTTTTCCCGAGATGTAAATAAGGGAGAGGTCGCTTTGAACTCCTAGAAAAAGATATTCTGAAAAATGAATCCTGAGCTCTGGACCCATTTTTCAAGATTAAGAACTGGAAATTTTAATTTTCAGAGAGAGGTGCGTCTGTTTTCCAGTAGTGGATCATTTTTCAGAATATCCTGTCCAGTAGTCTCAAAATTGTGTACCTCTGATTCTCCTTATCTCTTTTCCTTGCTTTTCCTAGGCTAGATGCTGCATACTGTATATCAGCATCTAGTATACCATATATTTTACTTATATATTTATTGATTACCTATTGAAAATAACTAAACTAAAAGCTAAGGCACAGCCTCTTTGGGGGCCCGTCTGAGAGGTCAGCTTGCCCTCCACATAACATATCCTCTTTGGCTACCACAGCCACCTCACCATAGCATGGCTACCACTCCCTGCTAAGAACAAACACCAGGAAGTTGACCCAGAGGGATGGTGGCCTCTCTAAGAAATCAGACTCTCAGACTTGATATATGTCCCTCATTTTGGTTGTGGATCCCCTGTGACACAGAACACGTGGTAAATTATTGCAGCAGAGGCTGCTAGAGTAGTTATCAAAGTCTGTTTCCTTTTCTTGGAAATACAATTGTCTTGGTCTGTTTGGGGTGCTATCACAAGATATCATAGACTAGGTGGCTTAAACAAAAAAAACATTTCTTTCTCACAGTTCTGGAGGCTGGGAAGTCCAAGATCAAGGCATTAGCAGTTCAGTATGGCTGTGTCCTCACGTGGTGGCAGGGGCCAGGGAGTCCTCTGGGGTCTCTTTTATAAGGACACTAATCCCGTTCATGAGGGTTCCACTGAATCACCTCCCGAAGAAGGCCCCACCTCCAAATACCATCACACTGGGGATTAGGTTTCAACATATGAATTTGGGGGGGACCCAAACATTCAGTCTAAACTCCATTTCCTAGCCTCCCTTGCAATTAGTTTCGGCCATGTGGCTGAGATCTGGACAATGGAATGTGGAAAGAATTGTAACCGGCCAGTTTGAAACTTTGACGCTTGACCCAGGAAAGCCTCTCTTGGTTTGGGGGGTTCCTCTCTATGTCCCTTTGCCTTCTATCTATCAAACTCAGAGGACTCCATGGTCCTAGACTCCAAAGTCACACGATAGTCTCTCAGTGACCATGTGAAGACCAGCCAGACAATCTGCACTAGATGTTGCCTGAGAGAAAAACATTTATTGAGGTGAAAAACTGAGATTTATGGGGGTTTTTCTATGGTTTTTTTATGGGTGCTATAAAGCAACTGGTATCACTAATACAATACTGTTTTACTATTGCTTGCTTATTAATGTCCCACATTTTAGTGCTTAACTCTAAATATCAGAATTACATCTTTCTCATAATACACCAAGTGATAAAGTAATGGGAGTCATTAGCACACACATGCTACACATATGGCAGAAAATACACAAATTTCTCCAAAATTCTAAAAATTATTACCTCGTTAATAATGTATAATTATTTTGTAAACTAATTTAGGATTCTTCCTGCACTTCACTTCCTCACCTTATAAATCCAAGCTGGGCAGAAATATAGAAATGTGCAACTAGAGATTATCATACTAAGTGAAGTAAGTCAGAAAGAGAAAGACAAATACCATATGATATCACTTATATGTGGAATCTAAAATATGACACAAATGAACCTAACTATGAAACAAAAACAGAATCACAGACATAGAGAACAGACTGGTGGTTGCCAAGGGAGAGGGGGTTGGGAGAGGGATGGAGTGGGAGGTTGAGGTCAGCAGATGTAAGCTTTTGTATATAGAATGCATAAACAACAAGGTCCTACTGTATAGCACAGAGAACTATATTCCATAGCCTATGATAAACCATAATGGGAAAGAATATTTTTAAAAAAGAATGTATATATATATATATATATATATATATATATATGTGTGTGTGTGTGTGTGTGTATAACAATCACTTTGCTATACAGCAGAAACTAACACATTGTAAATCAACTATACTTCAATAAAAATATATTGATCAAGAAAAAATAAAGCTTTGTACACATTTAAAAAAAAGAAATGTAGAAATGGGTAGTGGTGCTCTGCAAATGTTATACTACCCTAAAATTCTCATAATAATGTGGACTTCGTATTAGGTATGACTTTACTTTAGACTGACTTTCCAATTTCTTCTGACTCCAATCAAAACAAATACTTTTCTTAAGTGCCCTTCCATTTCCACATTCATTTCTCACTGGGCTATTGAGGCTCCTGGTCATCCCAGGCAGTGGTATGTTGATATGTTTAATAACCAGCTCTCCAGGGGAAAACACTATTCTGGTATAGATTCTCCTACCATAGCTGACTCAAGCTACAGCTGTGAAGTCACTGAAATCATTGAATGTTGAGCTAGGTAGAGACGTGTACAGTTGGCTCCTGCAAACCAGTACAAGCTGGCTCCAGGGTCTAGTCTATCACTGCTTAGCAATAACGACAATAAGAAGCTAATATTTATTTTAAGCACTTACTATGTGCCCGAAAACATTTCTCTGAATTTTCATATGGTGTTATATAATTATATTCAATCTTCTCAATATGTCTGTGAGGTTGGTGTCACAACTATTAAAAAAAAAAAAAAAAATTCCAGGAGCTGGAAGCTAAATGCCAGGACACTTGAACACAATGTTTTACAGTATCAACAATAATCAGACAAGGCCACTCTGTTACCTGTGATAGAACAAGGTGGAGACAAGGTCCCTCCATAACTATGTCTGAAACAGGAGAGAGATAAGGATACTCTGCAATCACAGAGATAAGTAACCCCCTTTCCAGCTTAAGTGACTGTGCTTTCTGACCAGTAACAGCTCCAGCCCCACTTTAATCCTCCTTCCTCCTACATAAAGATTACTGAAATACCTACTCACTGAATTGCCCTGCTTCCTGACAACACCCAATCCATAACTGATGTCTGATTTCCTCACACCCTCCTCAGAATAATAAGCTTCTCCCAACTCCCTTTTAGCTAGATGCCCCAAGATTCCTCCAGTGTGCTCTCTCCCCAAACCTAACTTTGACTACAAGTGTATTCCTGGAGGTCTTTGGTCAGCGGACTTTAACAGTGTCAGTAACCTGACTTTTCAGGAGAGAAAACTAAAGTTTACACTTAAGAGTCCTTAGGCGTCTGTCTTTTGAGTTATGATTTCATATCAGAGATTGCCTTCCCAACCTTCAAGGAGCAGATGGTCTGGGCCATATTTAAGAGACATTGTAAGAGAGAGCAAAATGAACTGGCTGTCAGTATAGGGACTCACAGGAGGGTAATGCAGAGATTATCAACAGCAAGAAGCTGTTATGCTCCTAAAGATGGAAGGACAATGGGAAGAGGTGGTGTTAGAGCCCAGAGCGGGGGCTAGAACAGAGGATGACCCAGGGATGAGTAGCAGGAACTAGGATGCCAGAGGGAGGAGCTCTAGTCTGAGAACAGATGCAGCTGCAGCAGAAAATGCTATAGGAAGCAGAGAGATGGAGAAATGCCCTGGATTCTGCCTTCCTCCCGCATTCCAATCTTTTGTCAGTCCTCCCATTGGCTACGCCTACCCAGAAGCCAGAGGGGAAGGAAGCCTGGGAAATGTAGTTCCTTGTGGTACAGAGCAGAGCAAGAGAAGGGTAGGGGATGAACCTGACAACAGGCAACTTGACACAGTATCCACACACCCCGCCACCCCCTCAGCTATGATCAAAGTATGAAATCTACAAAAAAAAATTTTTGTAATAAACCTATAAATGAATCTTCTCATTAGAGTTTGCCCTTTGGATCAATTCCTTTTAGTATGCAGTAACACTTATAAGAACTCTAGTATCACACACATTTACATTTTATATGTATTTATAGAAGTGCCTAAGTTTTATAGCATAAACATCATAGAGAACAACAAATTACAAATATTCCACTAAATAGAAAGTTTTCCTTTTTAAGATATAAGCATCCAGTATATAAAACACACAGTAGATCGCAGGTATAGAAATGCTAATAATTCACTTACGCATTTTGATTTGTATTAAATATAAAGCACTTTAACAAAGAGTCAAGCTATGATTTAAGGTCAGTTCCTTCACCAGATTTCCTTCATTTGAGTAAATCACTTCCCAATTTTTTTGTAGAATTTTAAAACCAGGCCTTGGGAAAGTTCTCAACTGTCAAGTCGTTAGATTAAAGCAGGAGTCGGCAAGCATAGTCCTTGAGCCAAATCTAGCCCATCATCTGTTTTTGTATCACTCACAGCTGTTTTTACATTTTTAGATGGTTGAATATAAATGGAAAGAAGAATAATATTCTATGACACATCGAAATTATATAATATTCAAATTTTAGCGCCCATAAATAAATAAGGTTTCATTGGGACACGGCCATGTCCATTCATCTATGGCTGCAACACAAGTGTAGTTATGACAGAGACCACATGGCCAGAAAAGCCAAAAATATATAATATTCAGCCTTTTACAGAAAAAATTCCAGATCCCTCGTGTAGGCGTGGAACAATTTTCCTTTACCCTTCTAGTTTATTTTGGCTGGTCTAACAATCAAATTGTTATAAGACAGATTAACAGGAGAAAAAGAAATTTAATTTGGTGTATATGGAAGCCCCTTAGGCATAGGACCTAAGAAGTGACCAAAGCAGGCTGTTTATGTTCCTTTTTAGACACAAATAATCAATTATTTGTGAAGATTTGACAAAACAAAGGGTTTTTTGCTTGGGGTAGCAAATTAATGAAGAAGTAACAAAGTTTGTGTATACAGCTTTCTCAGCCTCCAATTCCCTGTCTCCCCAGATAAGGATGTCCTCCATCCTCTCGGCATAGGGAGGATACCTTTCCATGGAAACTTTCTCAGTGAGAAAAAGGAGAGTCAGAGTATTCTTCTTGTACTGAACGTTTCTCAAGTAACTTTAATGCAAAATAATCAATATGCCACCTTGGCATATTTGGGAGAAGGTGTAGGCAAGAAAATATTAAGAAATGTTAACTCATGTATTTATCCTTTTGCATCAGAAAACTCTGCTCGGCCTCATGCCAGAATAAAAGTGTTCTTACAGCATTAATATGATGAGACATAAGTGCATCTCTTTCAAAATCATTTTAAAATATCCATGTCAAAAACTGTAATTTGAAAGTAAACTTTCGAGCCTCAAAATCCTGTCTTTTGAGTAACAAAGCAGAGCCCTGCAGGACTTGAGGCATAAAGTTTATGCCACAGACAATAATCAAAGGACAGTGCTTTTCAACCTCTTTTCAACCTGCAGGTCCTGGTTCATTAATGGATTGTAAAATCAATACATTGAGTAGCGACCAACATTTTAAAAATATCAAATAAAACAAAAAGGTATAAGAGCAAATGGTATCTATATAAATATGGATGCTGTCTTGAGTTACAATATAAAATGTATTTCTTACTGTGGATCACAGTAAAAAAAAAAAAAATCAAGATTACTTTAGAAAAAAAGATGCAGGAACCCAGTGGACCCGGCTTCCGGAGGAGCTGAGGCAGAACCAAAGCGTGGAACGGAAGCTCCACTGAAGCAGGTTTCCGGGTCCCGCTCGGTGTGCATGTGGGTGAGAGGCGCACAGTCCCCCCGGACACCTCGCCAGGATGTAGAGGAAAGACGCGGGGATTTGCGAGGTTCCACGCTGAGAAACCAGCGCACAAGGATGTAGCGGCAGATCTCCTAGTGGGCAGATATCAGTTGAGAGCCGGCAACTCTTCCGGGTACCTGGACAAAGAGCTCTTCTCTTCATGCGCAAACTGACATAAAATTCCGAAAAAACGTGGAGTCCCCAAGTTAGTTGATAAAGTCCTGGACTAAGACAAAGCCCACTGACTTAGATGTAGCCCGATTTGGCTAAGGTGCTGCCACTAAGCAGAAAAGGGCTGGGGACTGAGATATACCTCAGTTTATATTGTATATTAAATAAGCATACAGAATTAACTCCTGAATTTGTGGCCTACAGAATCCTAATCTATTCATGGGACCTTCTAAATCTTTTATAATGTTCTTGCGGGAAAACACCACGTCTTTCGGCTTTTGGGATTCTGCACAGCACAGCCCTTGGCTTGCCTGTTTATTACCCACTTCTTTCATACTGAGAGAGACGGAGACTGTTTCCCAGGCACGTAGCACATGCACTGATGCATATTGGCCACCAGGAGCCGGAAAAGCCTAAAGATAATTATCAGAAGTCAGAGGTGGCGGAGGGGGCAGAAGGAGACGTGGGGGAAGGGACTAGAGCCCAGGAGAGGGAGAGGGAGGAGGAGGGAGGAAAGAGAGGGAGGAGGAAAGCGTGGGGGTGGGGGGTGGAGAATGGGAAGGAAGGGGAGGAAGGAGGAAGAGGTGGCGAAGGAGGGCTGGAAGGAGGAATGAGAGGTAGAGCAGGGGAGAGGGACAAGCAAGTTACTAAAGGGAAAAAATAATTTTCTGGACAGCGGCTAGTGACATTCATAGGGACCTTACATTTTACAACGTGTTATAGATACTGTTTCATTTTTGCCTCACAGAAACAACCCAGCTGGATAATGATTCCTACCCACATTTTTTTCTGAGATTTTTTTTTTTTGAAGTATAGTTAATTTACAATG